GTGTGACCTTGAGCAAATCACTTGCCTTCTCTGAGATTCCTTTCTCCATTACAATTAAAGAAAAAAAAAAGTAGAGACTGAATTAGAACTTTTAAGATTCCTTCCAATTCTAAGCTTCTGTGAAGCCAAACTTCCAAGTAAATAACCTTGTTCACTCACAGAGAAGATATCTTACTATAATTGAAAAATCTGAGGCCATTTCATAAAAAAAAAAAAAAAAAAAAAAATTTTTTTTAAAAAGACAGTAAGAACCTATAGGTTCCAACTGCAGTCAGGTCCTTCATGGTATGACAAAGAATGTTAAAACTCAAGCAAAAGCTTATCATTTTAGTAGAACCTTGAAACTGAGAGAAAAACTAATCAAACCACATGTTAAAAACATGCTCTGGAATGCAGAGAATGCAAAGAAACAATGGAGTAAGCAGAATGACTTGGTTAATTGGTATATTTTTGAAAAACGAAACAAGTTGCATAGTTAATGTAGTAAAGAAGACAAGCTTTCAAAAGAGTCTTCAAAACTAAATTAATTCCAATGTAGGAGGGATTACAATTCCTGTTCCCTCTCTCTCTCTCCTTCCCTTGCTTTCACAAAACAGCCATTACTATTCATTCATGACACGAACATTCATTTAGTGACTATCTACTACGGTTAGGTACTATCATAATTTCCAAAGACATCTTTAAGAACAATAAAGGTAAAGCAAATATGATCAAACATCACTTAAACTTCAGGAAGAAGCTTAAATTTAAATCCCAAGCTGTTACCCAGAATTTTCTAGCCAGTAACATGCTTTTTCTTTCTATGATACTAACAGTGTACCAAATCAATTTGTGCTAGCACTGCTATTAATATTATTTCAACTACATTAGAGGTAATATAGATTTGGGGTTAGGGGATATCTGAAATCTGTCCACCATTTATAATACTGTTTCTAAGCACTTCTCCAATCCTATATCTGGTAACAACTGGAGAGTTTAGTGACCTAGAAAATTTTTTTCCGGTACCGGGATTTGAACTCAGGGCCTCAAGCTTTCTAGCAAGTGCTCTATCACTTTAGCCATGCACTAGACAGGAAATACTTTTAACTAACAGGGGAAAACCTAACTCTAGTACAAATGAGAAAAAGGCTTGCATATTTAGGATATTTTGTCTCATATTTTGGTCACATAAGCATTTCTTGAACACCTACTACGTGCTGATAGGGCTCAGAAAACCATACCCCAAAGCCAATACCTCCAAGAAAATAACCTTGTTTACCCAGAAAGTAAATACTTCATTATACTGGAAAAAACTAGGGTCCATTTCTTTTAAATAAAGACAGAAAGGCTGAAAGCATGGATGAAGTAGTAGAGGACCTGCAAGCAAGCAAGAGGCCCTAAATTCAAACCCCAGTAACGCCAACATAGAAAGACCTTTTATGTTAGTATCATAGGTCCTTCATGGTATGACGAAGAATGTTAAGGCTCAAGCAGACTCTATTATTTAGTGTAACCTTGAAACTGAGAAAGACTAATGCTGACATTTTTACATTAATAAAGACACTTTGGCATGCTGAGTACTTTGAATTGAAGAAGAGCACTGGGAAGGGCCCCAGAAGCAGTCTCTTTCTGAATTTCTCCTACTCTTTCTCTTGTTCCACCTTCTCTCCCAAGGCAGGCCAGAGAAAACAGAATTACTTTACCCCATGTCTACCCATAAGAATTAGAACCCTTCTCTCCCCAAACCAGCTATGATACCTAGAAATACTACTCTAGCCTTCCACTGCCTTTCTGTGTAGGAGATACCTATAAGGAAATTCTGTGACCTACTCTGTTTAAAAAGTCATGAAACCTTCATTTTGGAAGAGGTCCTGGCCCACTACCCAGGAAGAAGGAATGCTACAGAGAAGCCCAAAAGAATCTGGACAGGCCTTGCTGGGTATTCCTCCTTCAGTCCATTACATTACATTACACCTTTTTGTCCACTCACATTCTATACAGCTGTCCATTTTTCATTGAACCTGAGCATAAAAAGATAGTTTTCCCTGAGTCTTTGAGTCTTGAAAAGACACTACTATGTTCATGCAAAATTTTAAGTAAATCTGTTATGCTTTTCTTTTTGTTAATCTGTCACGCTATAGAAGTGTGAACTGTGACCCTCATGATGGGTGATAAGGAATCACCTCATGATAGAGTAAGGAATCATACCCTTTCCATTCCTATATTCCCAAGCACTGCATTAGAGACAAGGGCTCTGGGGATATAAACATGAGTAAGAATCTCTGATCTCTAGGAAATTAGAAGCTAATGCAAAAATCAGACATGTAAACAAAAAATACTACAACACAACCTAGCCACGGTTCTAATGTAGAGATATGAACAAAGCACTGTAGTAGCACAAAAACGACAAGAATAACTGAAGGAAGACAGCATAGGAAAGGTAACAAGTGCTATACATTAAGGATGAAGTAGAAGCTTACCACCAGAGATACAGCTGGGTTATCTAAGTAAAAGAGAAAGGCTGTGTGAAGAGACAGCTGAGAAGCTACAGCATGTTCTAAATAATAAACAGTTCACAGTGGATACCTTGGGTGAAGTGCCTGCAGCTGAATCTTGATTTGAGCAATAAATAAGGAGCAGACTATGAAGGGCCTTAAAGGACATGCCAGGCAGCTGGACTTTGGCAAAAGGGAACTAAAATGGATTTTTAAACATGGGAGTGACTTAGTCAACTTGTTTTTGAATAGAGAGGATGGATGGGAGAAGTCCAGTGACAAGTGACTAGTCAAAAAATTTTTGCAAAAGTCTGGGTGAAAGAGGACACAGGACTTATTGAAAGCATTATTATCTAGGAAAAAGTATCAAGTCCAAGAAATAGTACTAAGGCAATAGAACCTGTTTACTGGACATGGCAAATAAGGAAGCTAGAAAATAGCTTTAAATTACTAACTCCCTGTGTGGGGTAGAACTTCAATTCAATAAAATATTTAAGGCGGGGGGACTTGCTTAATATAGTTTTGGTCTAAGAACTACTTTCTGAAGAATGATTATTGCTGTTTAAGCCTTTACTGAAAAACTTAACAAAATATAATTTTCTGCTAAGTACATTATAATCATCATAAAAATGTCTCCTTTCACAATGATCACAAACATTAGTTATCACTCTGTAAAGTTTAGGTACTGGCAGAACTATCCAGGGGCAATCCTAGAATTTGCTTTTTGAACAAAACCATAATTATTCAATGCTTTTTTGGTCATGATCCTCTTTCTCAAACAAGAGTGCAAACCACAGAGTGTGGCAGCACACATGCCTAGAACAACAGAGTTTAAGGCCAGCCTCACAAGGACCCTGTCTCAAAAAAAAATGGGGGTGGGGGGGTGCAGAGGGAGATGGAGTGGGGTGGACATACAACTACTTGAATTTCCAGTCAACAGAACAAGGTGATATCACAATGTTCTTTCCTTACCAAACTAAATTTACACTGAACTAAATTTTCTGGTGATCATCTCATCAACTGGGAATAGTTGAGTGGTTACATTATTACTGAACACAATCTTTTCACATTAAAATAATATCATCCAGAACACTGAAAACACCAAAACAGATATAATCAAAAAAGTCTCTGCAGCTTCTAAATTATTGAAGGGCACTGCAAGTATAAAGTCATCTTTGTCCAAACCAACTGCAGGACACACTTTGGAAACAGATCTAGCTTCTTTGTTATCTTCCTCTTCTCTCTCTCTCTCTCATAATGGAGTCAACTCAGGGCTCTGAGGTTTCTAAGCCAGTGCTCTACCACTTGAGCCACACCTCCAGCCCAGCCCTGTTTTTGCTTTCAGATAAAGTCTCATTTTTTGGAGGGGCAGCCTTGGACTGCAAATGCCAGATCTCTGCTTCCCAAGTTCCTGGAATTACAGGTGTGAGCCAAGAAATCCAGCTTCTTGTTGCTTATTTGAACTTTGACTAAAAATGTGATTGTTGTTGACCTATAACTCCTTTGGAGCAGGAGGAAAAAAAAACTGTCATTTTTATTTAAGTGGTCTCTTGCTGGGCTGCACAAAAAATAAAAAAGTGAAATAAGCACTTTAATTTCCCCAAATAAATGAGAGATGTTAACATTATTCATTAATGGGCTTTATCACTTAGTTAAACATATGCAATGTCCTTAGATAGATGATTCACAAGTAACTGTAAAAGAATTTTCAATTTAAAAATTCGCTGCAAAAGCCCTTAAAACTACTATTAAGAAACTTCCCAGCTACCTCACTGAGAAACTCAGAAATAATTACGTTTTAAATTTCCTGACAGAGCTAAAAAATGAAAGTTTAACCAATAAGCAAAACCAAGTGTCACCTCAAGTGTTCAATATGCCCCTCAATCTTTCAAAATAAAAATACTTGGTTAGTACAGTAAGAATGCCAGCAAAAGAGGGAGGCATGATTAAAAATGCTTCGTGGTCTATTTACAGGCAACTTTGCATATAACTACGTTAGGTGGAGAATCTAATACCTTCCCTTAGGTTGTTATGTGAACCCAAACTATACTAAAGTTTTCAATGCATTTGCCGCAGCAACCCTTAAAACATAAAACCACCTCCTTCCCCACACACATGATCACAAACAACAGCATCCATAATTATACACCAAACTAGTGGGGCAAGCAAGAACAGAGTGCCAAAAGCAAAACAGCATCCAAAAATGCTGTATGGCCTGCCACTGGGGAGTCTATCAATGGACAACTGGTCAATATTCAGCTTTCACATTAAAAGAAAGTTTAAGTTTTGTGTTTAAAATCATATTCGGAGTCAGCTTTCTAAAGAAAAATCGACCTCCACAAAAATAACTCGACACAAGCGACTGGTCCAGGGTCCGGTGCGGTGATCGCCCTCTCCTCCCAGCCACGTCGGCGGAGGAAGCGAGGAGCGCGCCCCAGGAAGAAGGCCTGGGAGAGCGGATGGCGGGTACCCCGGGACACCGGGCTGGGGGCTGGCCCCTCTACCAGACCCTCGGGGTCTACTCACTCCGCAAGTGGCCAGGAAGAAAGCCATTCGCCGAGGCCCCCGCCCTCTGGGCCTCCTAGAGAGGAGGCGGGGACTGCTCACAGGCACCCCTCTTCTCCCGCCTCGACCACAACACACCACTGTGGCGCAGACCAGCCAGCCTGACCAGCTTCAGCCGTCCCCGAGACACCCAGTCCTCTCTGCCCCGCCCCGCCCGCGCCCGGCCCAGGGACCACCCCAATTGGCTGGCCCGGCCGGCTGCTCGCAAAGAGAGCCCTGGCGATTGGCCATGGATCACCTGCTGCAGGAGGTGAGCAGCTGACGATTGGCGGTTGGGCCAGTTTGAGTGGAGGGCAGGAGGGAGCCTTCTGCGCAGGAGGATCTGTACCGCCCACCCCGGGGTTTGGGGACTGAGGAGGCACGGCTTCGGAGCTTCTCAGCCCCGAGGACTCCCATTGGGTGGCGACCAGGGAAAGACTCTGTCCTGTCGTAAATAGGCTCCACCTACCCGCACCGGCGTCTAGCCTGCCCTCCCCAGCGGGGGCTGTGGAGCCTGGGCCCAGAAGTTTCATCGTGGTAACTGACTTTTCGTAACTTACTTCCGTAAAGTTGCTTCTGTGGCGTGGGGGAGGGAGGTGCGGAAAGGAGAGAGGAAATACCATAGTATGTCAGTAAACAAAAGCTGGGGTGCCTATGTTTTATTACTCGTGAAACTTCCGTGGGCCTGCTGTTGTGCCACAGTTCCATAAGGAGTGTAGGTGGCTTGTGAAGATGCTGAGGAATCCAAGTAATAAATCTACACCTAAAGTTCCGGCTTAGAGAGCCTCCACAGAGAAACCCCAAATGCATAAGTGATTAGCTTGTTGACCTACTCTCACTATTTTCTCTTGTTACTATACCTCTCCCTTTCCCTTCCAGGACTCTACTAAACTCCCAACTATCCAACTATTTGTTGTATTTTTTGCACTTCCATTGGTACCCCCACCACATCCAGTTTAGAGCGCAGTACACAAAGAGCTCAATAAATGCTAGCTGAAAAAAGTACGCCGCTGTTCTCAGTGTTAAAGACATGTTCAGTTTGTTTTGTGTAAATCGTTCCAAAATGTCCAATAAGAAGTGCACTGCCTTTTACCTGTACCAACTCTTTATGTCCACCCTAACATGCAGACCATAATAGCAGTCCTCCTTAGACACCACCCCTAATCCACACTCAATCATCACCAAGTTCTATATTTACTTCTTAGATACACTGATTCTGTCCATCTCTCCCCATATTACACATTCACCACCCTATTCTAGATCCTGACCTCTTGAAATAATCTCACTAAAGTCTTCCTGAACCTAGGGGTCCTCCAATTCATTCTCAACACAATAGCCAAAGTAGTACTCACTACTTTGTACACCTCACTACCAATGAAAGAACTTCATCTGCTTTCCTTTGGTCACTGGGAGTAAAGTAGCCAATAGAGTTACATACAACCATACATGGGTTAAACCTTGCTTTTTGCTTCTGCAACCTGCTTGCAAGAGTATATAAGATGAGACCCCCTTTGTTCTTGGGGCTCAGCCTTTGGATGTGAATCCGCTGAGCTGCTGCCGGCAAGCGAATAAATATTGCTTACTAAAAAGCCTTGGTGTCCCGCGTCTCTGTTTGAGATTCCCCTAACATTTATGGCAGCTCCTCTGGAATTCGGAGAATAGAGTGTTTTCACCTCCTTGTTGTGTGACTTGGCCTCCCAGGCTCATCGTGAGAGTGATCCACCAGACACCAGCCTGGAAGTCCAACAGAGGGACTTGCCTCTCCTGGCATACTGAAGAGCAAGTCTCAGTTGCACAAAGGAACCCAAAAAGGCTCAGGAACCAATTGGGAGCTCTGCCTGTCAGACTGGTAAGAACTCAGGTTGAAATAATAGGTCTGCCTTTGGGAGGCAGAAGGGGAGCCTGATGACTTCCCAGAGACCACCAAGTAACCCTGTCTGGGGTGAAACCTGTCTCTCAGGTTTAGGGAGCAGGGCAAGTGTGTGTGAGACACCTCCAAGCATTGGGGGAGGTTGAACTTTTCCCGGGAAATAACCACAATCAAGGTTAAGGGATGGATAACAGAAATTCATTTCCAAAGAGAAGACTCAAAAAAGAACAGATGCATCATCCACCATTCCACCAGATAGCCCTCTGGGAATAATTTAAGTTTTTTTTAAGAGAGTGAACTCTAAATTTGTGAGTGTGTGTGTGGAGGGGGGAGGCAATTTGTTTAAGGCATTGGGCAAAACTGAATTTGCTCCTGGAATTCCAGTTCATCTTATGTGCGCTTAAGGTGACATTTTTTCCTGGCATGCTTAATTTATAAAACTGTGTGTGTGTGTGTGTGTGTGTGTGTAAGCATCTTCAAAATGGTTCTTAAACTGCTGTTATAAGGTTAATGCAATATTCAAGGTAACAAAAAAAAGGGTGTTTGTTTTAAAGATCTCTGTTATAAACTGCCTAAGCTTTTTACATATGAACATGTAAGCATCTTGAGAGTGGTTCTTATTATAGAGTCAATGTAAAAAACTGTTACTCTGTTCTATTGCTACTTTTAAGAAAACTAGTTTTCAAACTTACTTCAATCAGGTCTCACTAGGATGCAGGCATTTAGGGATTAACAGTCTGGCTCAGACCAAGAAAAAAAAGAGAAGGGAAAGGAGAAAGGGAAGGAAGGAGGGAAGGGAAAGAAAGGGAGGGAGGAAGGAAGGAAAGAAAAGGAGGGAAGGAAGGGAAAGGAAGGAAGGGAAGGAAGGAAGAAAAGGGGGGGGGGCCCACAGCCTGCAGCAGGAATCTTAAAATTTGGGTAGTTAAAAATGACCTTAGCCTGTTTCATTCTATTGTGCATACAATCTGGGATTTAATACATGGGCCTGTTAACAAATGGGCTTTCTATAAATTGTTTTTATACAAAAAATAATTTTGAGGTTGCTTTCTTTCTGGTTCTTTTTTTTCATACAAATATAAGGCTGTAAGTGAAAAGGTTTATGGTTTATTTTAAATAAGTAACAAATAAATATATATTTTCCAAGGTCAAATTTAATGTACTGCTATTAAACTAAAACTTAATCCTCTAAGCTCCTAACAAGGCTATCTTAAAAATATTATATTGTTCTTGATAACATTTACAGAGAAAACTGTCTTAAAAAAGGTTTTTGTTTTGTCAAGATAACTGTCAGAAATTTTTGGTGCTACAGGTTAATTCACAAATTTATCAAGACTAGATAGAGTTTAGTAAAACACAGTGCTGCTGCACTGATACGAGGATTGAGACAGATTTACTTATGTAAAGCAAAATTAAAAAAACAAAAACAAAGAAAAAGTGCACCCTCTAGATAGGATAAAGAAAAAAAAAACTCAAAAAGGAACACTACACTGGAGGTCAAAACCTCTAGTTTTTATTAGAGTCAACAGAGTGGAAATGTTATTTCTACTCCTTCCACATGTCAGACAGAGAGAATTTTTGGTTTGGGGGATGGCCAGATTGAACCTGTTATTTTAGGGGTGCTCCATTGACTACAGGTTGGTGGGATCCTGCTATATGTCATAAGCCATCTGTTAATGTCAACTATCTGGGATATAATCCCTTAGCAACATCTGAGCTATGATTCTTGGCCATTAGGTTTCCAAACTTAGTCCATAAATATTTACCTGTGTTCTCTGGTGACTTTTGTCAGGGTTTCGACTACTAAGGTAACTGAGTCATAACTAAATAAAAGTTCACTTAAGGTTGGTTTATGTAAATTTTTCTAGATGACCTCATGGTTAAACAACTGTTGTCTTGGGTGATTCTAATGCAGTCAGTACCCTACATGTGTCTGTTACTGGGCTATTTGGGTTCACTGGCACTGTTCTCCTCCCCCCAGTCCCCAGCTGATGAGAAAATCTAAGGTTTTACTTCAAAAACAACAACTAAACCAATATGTATATATAACCTCTATAGAGCTGTGATGCTGTTTCTGGTTCCTGTATACTAAGTATATTTATGTTTTTCAAGTATATCAAAGCCTTCTAAAATACAAAATTTAGATAAACATAATAGCAAAAAGTTAATGGTACTAATATAATGTTGTGTTAGTTGCTAAATTGTCCATCAAAATTTTAACCATGGCTCTTTTAAGTTTTTGTCATTACAGTTCTGATCCTCCTGGGGCATTTATAATCAACTCCATAAAAAAATGACTCTAATAAGAGCTTATGTGTCAACCAGGTTAGCTTTTTAGACGTCTGCTTTTGATGGATTTTGTTTTGTATTGTCCTTGTCTAGAAGCCCACTGCCTAAGAGCCCCTCCTTCTAAGCCTCTTTGTTGCTTAAATTTGGCCAAAAGTGTCTAGTTGGCACTGACTCCCACCTCATCTGCTCGTTACTTACAATGAGTGAAAAAAAAAAAAAGAAAGATCTTCAGTCTATGGCCATACCACCACCCTGAATGTACCCAATCTCCTCTGGTCTCGGAAGCTAAACAGGGTCAGGCCTGGTTAGTACTTGTGTGGAAAAAAGATCTTCAGAGAAGACTGCTCAGAGACGAGCAGTTTGGAGACAAGGAGTGAGTGCTGTCAAAGTTCAAATTGAGTCACTCATGCCAGACCTCTCAAAACTAACCAAGGCAGAAAGGATTGAGAAAGTGGTTTTTATATATTGTGGCTATCTGGCATTAAATCCCTTCCAGACACAAACTCTTATTTTTAAACAGGGTCTTCTACTTAAAAACAAAATGACTATTTTTTCTGGCTCTAAACATGTCCTTTGATACTTAAAGATGGTGGTTTATGTAACTTTTTTGAACAACACGTTTTCTTGGACATATATACTGATGGTATATTGTTGCCATGGTAATTCCATTCAGTTAAAAAAAAACAAAACCCAAAAGATACTATCTGGGTAAAAAAAAATCTAACCATTAAAACCCATTGGAGGAGCCCTTTTGTTATCTTGTCTATCCCCACTGCAGTTAAAGTAGCAAAAATTGCTCCCCAGATCCACCACAGCCTAGTAAAGCCAGCCTCTCCCAAGTGAGAGTTCGTCCCTGACCCAGCCTTACCATTCAAGATCACCTCTCTGTAACGCCTGTGCCCTTCCTCAGCAGGACCTTGCTTCTTAGGAGACAACAGGGGACCACGAATAACTGGATGACAGCCCTATTCTAGTCATTCCAAAAGCTGACTAGTGTATGCACAGAAG